CCTCAAGCTTTACAGCTTTTAGCATGGGCTCTCTTTGTGAGAGCATTTCTCTGATGCTTCTAAACTCAGGATTAGTTATCCAAGAGAAATACAGAGAGGTCCTTGGAAATACAGAAGTATGGAACGTGATAAATCGCGTCCATATAGAGCTGAATTAGAGTGGTATAAAAATGAAATATGTCATAGAATCATAGAATACCAGGTTGGAAGGGACCTAAAGTATCATCTGGTCAAATCTTTCTTGGCAAAAGCATGGTCTAGACAAGATAGCCCACTATCCTGTCCAGCTGAATCTTAAAGGGTCCAATGTTGGGGAATCCACAGCTTCTTCCCTGGAGAGATTATTCCAGTGGCTGATTGTTCACATTGTGAAAAAATTTCCTCTTGGGTCCAAGTGGAGTCTCCACAGAAGTAACTTGTACCCATTACCCCTCATCTTTTCCATGTGACTCCTTGTAAAAAGGGAGTCTTCATCTTCTTTGTAGCCACCCTTTAAACACTGGAACATGGTGATAACATCTCCCCTAAGCCTTCTTTTCTCAAGGCTGAACAAACCCCATTCTCTCAGCCTTTCCTCATACATCAAGCTTCCAAGGCCTTTGATCATCTTTATGACCCTCCTCTGGACCCTCTCCAGCCTGTCCATATCTTTTATGTATAGCTGTTTTGTATATGTCATCTTAATTTTTTTTATGCTGCCTTGTAAGCATCCTAAATTTGACACAGATGTAAATAAATTCTATGAAATATTTATTAATGTAATTTGAGCTGCAATACAAATAGTCAGTTTCCTTGTCTTACATTTCAGCACTGTACTCCTACAGAGCAAAATTATATCCAGCTATTCTCAAGGGATTAAGCTATACTTTTAAAAAACAGGATTTAATCACACAAATATGGAGGAATGACAGAATCAGGATCTGAAGAATTTTCAAAAACCCCTGCAATCTCTTGCAAAAGTTTTCTGTGAACGTTAATTTCTGTGAGAGATGGCTTGTTTTAGTAACACTGGTATTTAGAACAATGAAGCATCAAAAACTTGCCTTCTTGCTGAAGTGAAAAAAAAATAATCCAAACAACAAGGCATAAGAAAGCAAGAGAAATGAAGCTTTTAGCCTTTTTTTTTGCACTTACAGAAGTTCAACAGTGAGTTTCTAAAATTTACCTAGAAGTACAGGTTCTGAAAGGAAAGTGTAGGTACACGTGTGACCTTGGTCTGAACTAGGCATTGGTGAGAGCTTTAGTAGAAGCATTGTCCCATTCTTTGGTAGATACTGTGCTGCACAGATTTTCCATTCTTGAATTGAGACAAAATGAAAGTCTTGACTGTTCTCATAAATCCTATTGAAGTATTTTCTTTTTGACAAATTTAGGGTCTGTCTTTGATCTTGACCTTTTAAAATTTTATGCTAAAAATGCCTGATACAGGGAGCAATCTTTCTTTTTATCTGAGTCATCTTTCAGCTTTACCAGGTCTACCTTATTAATGTTTTGTGGAATGCATTCTCATTTTCCATAGTAGCAGCTTAATATGGGTGGTCGGCTGAGCTCTTTATCAAATATTTGTATCTACTTAATTACTGTTTTCAGTCTAAAATTCAGGGTTGTTTTCAATATGAGCATGGGAATCTGGTGAGGAAAACCACAGGAGAGGCAATTAACTTAAAGCAGACCAGTTTAACAGGTCTGGAACATATTCTAGTAGTATTGTTTCTGTTTACTATCACTTTGTATGGACCTGTTCCCTCTGAAAGTGTAATTTTCTGTAAAACACATTATTTCACTGATTCTGCTGCTATTGAAATTCATTCTATCATTCTCTAATAATTGTGCTGCATTTAAATGTACATAACAGGTGAAACTTGGCGATTACACAGTTCCATAAAGTTTGAGCATACTTTCAGAAAATCCTTGTACAAAGCATGATCTTACCCAACCACTCTAACCTAGGGTCCAGATGAGCAGCTTTATAAAAAAGTAATTAATTTCATTTTCACTTTAGTAGAGTTTCTTATGTTCTCTGGTTCTTATCGCATCTGTTACAATTTCTGTAATGATCAGCTTAAAACTAACACACCTAAAAATAAATAACATGCTGCTGAGCTACATTAATGAATTGCTAGTTAATTAAATGTATGCCCGATCTTTTATTTGTCACTGTTCTAGTGACTCTCGGATGTACTCGGAGTTACACCTAGGCACTAATGCTGCAGCTTAAACTCAATGAGCTGATGACAGACTTTGACTGGGCTTCTCTGTATAAAACCAGCAGAAATTTTTAATAATTGTGTTTGTGCAAGATAGTCTCCCCTGAGCAGTGATTGTACATCTGGGATGGCCAGGGAGGCTGGCCTACCTTGGCACCTGGACATGCAGGCACATATCACAGGAAGCAGAGCAGACCTGGGGTCCCTCCAGCCCCAGTGCTGTGTCCTCGTCTGGCACAGGCTGTCTTGTGCCATGACTGCGTGGCCAGCCGAGGAGCTCAGAGAGTTGAGTGAGTGGTGATGCATGGTGCAAGCTCTTCCCCAGCCTGCTGACTCTGACACTTGGTCTCTCACCATGACTTAAGAAAAGGAAACGGTCAGTTTGTGCTCTGCCATGAAATGCAGGTATGAGCTGAGCTCCAGAGCTGTTCCTTTCAGAGATGTTCAAGTAGCTTTTCAGGGTGCTTTGTTTAAACAATAGTTATGTTTTGCCCAGGTGAATATTAGTTCTCTGAGTGGTTATCTCTGGTGATGTGCAGCCAGGTCTATTTGAAATAGTTCTTCTGTGATTACCTTGTAAATGAGTCCCAGTGTAATGATGCATAGTGCAGTGAGGAGTGCTTTATTTAAAATCCTGCTACTGAACCCAAGGAAAGGTTGGAGTGATTCCCTGTGTAGTGTGGAGATTGATCTCTCTAAACCATCTCTGAATGAAGAAACATTCACCTAAAAGCTGGCAAAACAATTTTTATTCTTTCAGAATAGATCAACGTGTTAAATGGTGGATATTGTCTTGAATACCTTGCGGGGTGTTCAATCCATATGGCATTGTTTCCAGCTATACTGTTTCATGCTACCTTTCCATTAAGTGATGGTGTTTTTTCTAAATTACTGACTTTTGGGTTTATGAGGGCAAGTTTGTTTATTAATTCTGTAGCATCTAGGAGGGTACTAAGTGGGCAACTCCTTTAATTTAAAATATGACAAGTGCATTGCTGCTCTGATGAATAGAACACTGGGTTTATTAATACTAGTAATGGAACATAATGGCTACTCATCAAAAGTCAAGATAATTATTTCAGGAACACAAAACTAACCTTGCCAGATAATTGCTTGTTGAAATCTGATGCTGCGCAACAAGTAGAGGTTTATTAACAACAGATGCCCACATTCACCTGTTATTAAATCCTGTATGTTACAATGATAGGGTTATCATAGGGTGAAAAGCATACCCCTTTTCTTGGAGATGCATGTCAATTCTTGATTAACAATTTTGATTACGAGGATTGTTTTATTCTTAATAAATTGTTGTGTTGTCCTCCAAAATGCTGGGGAGCTCTTAGGTTCTCAATCCTGGGTTCAAGAGTAAGATAGCTACTACATTTTAGTGACTGGCAGTTCACTGGTTGCTACAACCTGCACCGGTTTCTCTTCAGAAGAGGATGGTGTGGATGGGTATTTTGTCTTGTGGGCCAGGGTGACACGATGCTCCTGACCAGTGGTCCTGCCCTGTGTTGGTTGCCCTCTCTTATCATCTCTAACATGCTTTGAGACTCTGCAAGTGATCCACACAGACTTGTGATGGTTTTCCAGTTATCTAAGTGCATCCTTTCCCAGAGCAAATCCTGTGACTGGGATAATTTGTTTCAAAACAGGTTTTCTGAAATCATCAATTGTACCTTGAACCATGGTTACAAACATTGTTTGGGAGAATGTCTTACAGTGAAGTCTTCCTCTGTGCTAATAAAAAACTTCAGGCCGCTTCATTTGTGACTAAAAAGTTAAATTGTTTTTCACCATTGTGGTTCATGGTAAGAGTATAATGTTGCTAAAGATAGTTCAACAACTTTCATCAAAAGTAGTCCACCAATGCTAATCAAAACTACAGTGACAAGCATAAAAATCACTAAAAACATATAAAGATTTTTACAACAAATTTTGTACAAAAAATATCAATTTTTATCAAAAAAGTCATTATTTACATAATCATTCATGACTGAAAAAAGCCACATGAAAAATTGCCCTATTTCAAAAGGCAGTCATGAAGGCTTCAAAGTATATATAATCTCATAATCTAACTTCTCCACTCTCATTTTATCTGCTTTCTCTCTCTGGAAAACTGCTGTCATAACTATATCTATTTCCTGTAGGAGCTATTAGTCAGTAGTATTACATCTGCTTAAACATGATAGCTTTTCTTTTCTGTATGTCACTGATATGCTATTATCACGTAATATTGCTCATCCACCTGAGGTTGCTGGTTTTTTTTGTAGAATAGAGGAGAGCTGAAGCATCACCTAAAAAAAACTACAGAGATTCCAAAATATTTCAATAACTCTCATGTGTTCTCTCTCCCTCATGTTACTCATGTATGTTACAGAGCACAAGCTTCTCATGGTATATATCAGTGTTGTAATGTGAAATGTTTCTCTGCTTTTAAGTCCTAAGTAAAATCACTTTAACCATCACTTTTGAGTGTAGCCATCTCAAGTCCTCTTTATTTAAATGGCAGATTCAATAAAAATTCCATCTAGTTTCCAGAGGAAATTTGCACAAGTCCTTGGAAATCGATTCCCCCCCCCCCCCCATGAAGGAATCTTCCTCTC